TCATTTACACCAATATGACCTTCATTAACTGGAATTGGTTAATCCCACAAAAAATGAAATATTTGAATTGAAAATTATAATTATCAGTTTGCAGTTGTCCGTTTCCAGTAGATTCCAAAATGGATTCCTATCGGAAAGAACTTGGGATAATCCTGGATGTGACAGCTTGTGTTTTCAACTATTATAACACATGAGACTATCATAGTCGCTTCTATAACATTAATTTAAATAATTTTCAGCAAGTTTATTTCTTCCATGCATGAGTCACCCATCAGAATAATGTTTTAATAATTATTTCTTGTAAACTACCGGACGTTACTACGCCACACTAACGGACGTTATGTCCGACGTCCAGCTTCAAGCCTGTACAACTGATGTGTTAGATGTGCGCCATTGCAAACTATTTTCATACACTGGAACCTTGCTCAACTGGAATTGGTACATCTGTTTATGGTTTATATTGCGTACGGTAAATGAGCTTATACACGTGTCTGTATGTGTAAAGGAATTCCGGAAGTGTCTCACAACAAGGTTAAAAGCTCGGGATTAATTAAGTTGAGTTAAAATCGACACTTCCACTCTGGGTTAATTTTCTTTTGTCCCAAGATTGTGAAATTTCCCTACCTCAAGTAACTTATCCGGGCTGAAGTTACTTGCGGGACTCTTCCCGAAGTTAGTTAAACGTCTATAAGCAGAGCTCAGAAAATATGTCGTCATTCAAACGTTAGCCTCCAAGGAAGAAAGAAATCCAAGCAAAGTTAAAGTGTATTTGTAGTGGAAATCATGTCCGTGATCAAATTGGAAGCAACTGAAGTAGAACAGACAGGATTAACCAAGGTAAACATATTTATAACGAAGAGATTTAATATTTCTACTCAAACAACTTCAAAAACTATACGTTTCACTAACGCCAGAAATCGATACGGTTGAACGCCGTGGAGATCGAGAATGCATGATTAAAGAGAAGCTAAGATTGTATTTTAGTTTTGTTTTGAAATTAGTTTGAATTTTAGAGCACTGCTTCACAGCCATAACAGACAATTACAAATTAGTACTTTGTCCTCGACTTTGTCTTGCTTTTCTTGAAGTGGAGAAAGGAAAAGATGTCGAAAACACATCTGCCAAAGGAAACGGAGTGAAAGCGAAGCTTTTACAGTGTTATACATCAATTCCAATCAGGGCAGAATAAATGAGGGATGTTAGAAATTAGAACTGGAACATAATCACTAAGCGAGACGGTAGTTCTTTTGCTGTTGAACTTGTCACGGTCACGGTTTGTTTGTTATTTCTTCATACAGTTTTGTTTTTGAAATATTTGATGAGAAGAACTTTTCTTACGTGTCGTTTTGTCGCGCCCAGTCGTTTTGAAGCCTAAACAAAGTTTATTCTGTGGTCCAACATTTGATGATGCAATTAGGAGGGGTATAAAAACATCATGCTCTTAATAAAAGAAATCTGTGAAAATATTCGCTTTAGAACTGAGCAACAAGTCAAGTGTCCATTGCGTTATAGTGATCGAATATGCCATTTCTATGTTCAGCCTTTGTCTAGTAAACGATTACTTCTCCTTCCGGATCCCTCGACGAAGAGCCTAGAGTCAGTAGAGAATGCGTTCTTCTAAATGTCTCGATAAAAGCTGATCAGATATCGGTAAATAAACCACGGTATAGATTGTATTCATCATGAACTAGTGAACCCTAGTATATTTACGGAACAAATCACGTGCTCAACTAGTTTTATACTCAATTTTACCAGTTCAGTAGTCTACGCATATCGTGTTTTATAAAAATAAAGAAACACGACAAATATTTCGTGACTTAGATTTCCTAAATTAAAAGTATTCAACTCAATTTTTTCATTTTCAAACAGAATTTATCATAGCAGCTTTCAGGTGCTTAGAATCTTCTAAAATAGATTCTCAAGGAATCTATTCTGTTTTCAACTTCTACACTGTACTGGGCTCTTTAAAATTCGAAACTATTTGTGTTAATAATCCCGTACAAAATTGCAATATAAAGTGTAGTGTTATTTTCCACCTGGTGAAGATGCATGTCACGCGATCTAACGCGTGACAACCCCTAAAAAGGCTAAGATGTTCATGCTAATTTTATGCCGCATAAAAAGGAAAGTTCTATCTTTTCATTTTCTTAAAGAAACTTTTACTAATCTTTTAGCAAAACCAAATTGAAATCTATGCTATCTATTTCTGATCCTTTCTCTCGTAGCGTGGCATGGCGATTTTCAAATTCCGATATATGTTCTTCTCTTTTATGTGATAAAATCTAGAATTTTCCCCACTAGCGTAGCACACGCTCCTGCGGTTTATAAGCAATCAGTTTGACACGATCAACGAGAATCATTTGCGACTGACATTTTTTTCAGTCTTTATCATTTTCTTCGTAGAGCGGGTGACTTCGGGGGATCCCCGAGATGCAAATTTGCATAATTAACTTCCTGTTCGTAACTTTTTGTATAAAGACAACCCCGGATCACAATTCCGTCGTACTACAGCTATCTACTTTTGGAAGCTATACACTGGTAATCTAGTTGGAAAGAACACTGTCCTGAGAAAAACGTGTCTGAGGTACGAGTAGAAAACCGTTGTTTAGTTGTCTTCAAGTAGTTCGTTGAAATTTTATCTAATCTCTAACCGGCTATGAAGTATAAGTACGTTGTTTCAACAAGTATATATACAAACATCTATTTTTCTCTTTCAATAGGCAACGGGAATTCAAGCTGCAATTCGTCAACACATACACGAACACCAGCGAGGTGGAAACCTCTTGAAGGCTGAGGTTGGAAATGGCCATGTAAACCAAGCACACGTTCCGGTCACGTTTACTGGAACCCGCACAGACGATAAAAGAACAGGTAAACTTTATAAAAAGTTTCATACAAACTGGGTCTGATACCAAAAAATGCTTTCATAAAAATTACTTCAAGTGGCCGACATTTCTTCTGAAAATCGAACGAACCGGAATGAGGACTCGGC